TGCTGGGAATGGGGACTGCCCTTCACCCACTTGTGGTTTCCTGCCTCAAGGGAGAGCTGGGATAAAAAAATAAATAAAACAAGCTGAAGAACATGGAAATCAGGCTTGTGGTGTCCGAAATCCCCAGGGGAATTGTTCCAGACGCAGAGTGAAAAGCAGATGGGTCCTTGGGGGGAGTTTCCAGCTGCTTTGTGCTTCCCTGCTCCCTGGCAGGAGAGCTTCAGCACCCTTTTATCATAACCCCTCCCCAGCCCGATGTGGCCACGTTTGATAGAGTGCCCCATTTCCTAACAGCACCTCGTAATGTTCTTGACCTGGGGAAGAACTGCTCCCTGAGCTCTGCYGTGGTTTATTTTGGTGTGTGAGCTCCCTTTCCCGCTCGTTGGATGGCTCAATAGCTCATGGAGGTGTTGAAGGGTGGACATGATGTGCTGGGTTAAGTGGGACATCRGAGGATCATCTCTTCGGTGCAGGCTGCAGTCCCGATCTGTTGACTTCTGGAGACAAGAAAGGGCTGTAGAAATCTCACACTTTTACAGCATGGAGGAAATAATTTCACTGCAGAGACTCCTGTATTGAAACCAATAGGTAGGAATTGAGTAGAGCGTCTTCTACATCTGTGTCCAGCCTTGGTGTTGAAGGCAGCAGGACACGGAGCCCCCCAGCTTGGCTCCACCTTGCTCTGATGGTCATGAGYGAGTGGCTTGGGCTCCAGGAGGGAGGGACAGCGAGGGACCTCCAGGTCCAAGGAGTGCGTCCCAGGTAGGGGAGAAAGGGCAGTGGGGTATCCCACAAGTGGACATGGAGAAGGACACRGGCAGTCAGGAGGTACAAAGCGAGGAGGACCACGATAAACCTCGTGTAGAAGCTGTTTCTGTGCTGATTTCAGCAGATTTAGTGGGAGCTTCGTACCCACAGTTAATGGGCACATCAGCGGAGCTTACGTTAGCGGCGCAAAGCGGCTTAAGCTAAGCCTTATGTAAACTGCCCTTATTAAGCCAAAGAGTGCCCAAATTGGCCACAGTTTAGCGAAATCCATTTTTCAGTTGTGTCTTTAGTCACGATGGGCGGGCCGTGCAGCCGGGGAGGTGAGAGGATGCTATGGACCCCATAGGTAAGGAGCACTTGGGTTGGCACTCGCTCAGCTGCAGCCCTGCAGGAGCTGGGGTTGGGGCTTCCCGTGGCTTATGGAGCATCACGGATTTCACCTGTCGTTCCTAGAGTCACTCCTGSAGTGCGAGAACAGCCGCCACCTCTGCGTGCCTCCGTGCTGTGCTGGACTGGCCATCTACTGCTGCAAAATAAGGGTCTGGAGAGGCTGAGGAGGCCAAGTTGGGGGTCTGGAGCGGTCGAGAGGCCTAGTTGGGGTCCCAAAACTTCTCCTAGGGCATCTGCTCCCCATGTTGGTCCCATGCAGACGCTTCCGAGTGGTGCATCGGGCCGCCTTGCCATTGCCACTCACCTCCTTGGGTTGATCTCRATGCAGCATGGGCTGCTTGGCCTCCTGCCGCTGCTCCCCAGCCCGCGGGGTTTGGTTTTCGTTCTCTTTTCCGGTGCCTTGGGAATGTCCTTGCCCTTTCCCATCAAGGTAGGCGGGCGATGGAGCGGCCCTCGCTGTCCGGGTGGGGGAGCCCATCTGTCCGCTCAGCCTGGGACCTTATAAGAGGATTAAGTCTCATTCCCTGCGTTCTCACCATCTTCCTCATCCAACCAGCCCGTTCGGGGCAGGTCTCTCAGCTGCTGCTGCCAAATGCTCCCAGGCGTAAGGACATGGAGAAAGCGGAGCCCAGGGCGGTGCCTGCCCGGGTGCAATCGGAGCTGTCGGGAAGGTCGGTGCAAAATCAGCTGCACATCGAGGACACCAGGCCCCGTCAAGGGCTGGTTTTTCTCCAGCTCTGTCTCCTGCTCCTTTTCAAGACAGCCCAAGCCCCATAGTGTCAACTCCTGCCCTACAAGCACCACCCAAGTCCTGCCCCTTGTCTTTCTGGGGCAAAGCTCTTCCCTCTTTTAGAGTAAGAGCAGAAATAAGAAGGGGAGCCACAGTGAATGGTGCTTCATTCCTGCGTGAATATGTCGCTGCAGAGCAGGCTCAGAAGCCACTGACTAATTTCCCTGTGTCCTGGGGCAGGTTTAACGTGAGTTTTTTTCCTCCCTGAGGTGAAGGGCTGGTTTAGTTAAGCCCCTGTGTCATGAGGAGCGGGGGCCTCCCCTCTCCCTGGGTCTGGTAATGAAGGTGGAGTTGGGTAATAAATGTCATGGGAGAGAGAAGCACCGAGTACATGGCTGTGGGGTGAAGCTGCACGCTTGGTGTGACCAGCTCACTGCTGCAGGTGCTGCAGGAGCCTATGGTGTCTCCCTGAGAGCTGGGATGTCCCTTGGTGGTTGGGCTTTTTGGGTGTTTTTGGACACCAGTGCCCTGGCGCCTGCCAGTTGGCCATGGCCACGTTGCATTGAGCCCGATTCTCTCTTGTCCCCTGCCTGCTCTGGAGGTTGCRGAGTCTCCATCCTTGGACWTGTTCAGGAGGGGTCTGGGCAACGTGCTGTAGTTGGCCCTGCTTGGGCAGGGGGTTGGACTGGATGATCTCCAGAGGTCCTTTCAGAGCCCAATTCTGGCAGGATTCCTGACCTGGGGGCCAGGATGCTCCAAATGCAGAAGTTCCCCTTCCTTGGGTGGCCTTTCYGCCTCCACCGGGTACGGCAGGAGCATTCGAAACACGCAGGGAGATTTGGTGGCTCTTTCTTGCAACCCGAGGCCTCGTTGAGCTAACAAGGCATGGCAAGGTGTACGGCAGCAGGAAAGATTGCGATTCTGTCTGGAAAATTGGAGCCGSTCACGGTCCCTGTGGCGTGTTGCAGGGCCCGGGCTCGGAGGCAGCTGGTGAGTGCAGGCAGCAGCAGTGACTCCCAGGCTTCCCGTCCCGCCGGGTTGATGCTGCTGGATGTCTTTCCCTTCCTGGGCGGCTCATCTCCCTTCCCTTCCTTCCTTCTCCTGTCCTCCCTTCCTTCGTGCTTTACAGCCCGAGGAAGCTAAGGGGGCTTCCTGGGCGCCCTGTGTCCAGGAGGCCTCCAAAGCAAGAGCACCACRGTCTGTAGCTCCTCGCTGAGGCTCCTCTTTTACCAGCTCCTCAGGAAAAGGCTGCTCCCTGTCCCCAGAGAGCCTCGGAGCCGCTTACCATAGAGGAGATGTCTCCTTCCATGCCTTTTTTCCCCCTTTCTTTCTTAACTAAAGCTTCCCTGAGAGTGTAATTAAGAAGAGTGAGTTCCCGGCAGCATCCGAGCGGGTTTGGGGTGACAGAGGTTCCGCTCGGCTGCCCCTGTGCTCCTGTTCTAGAGCATTGAGCTCCCCAGCGCTCGCTTGGCAGCCCCGAGCACAGCCAGGGCCTTYGGAAAAGCCTTTGGGTGAAAACCAGGCCAAATCGGAGCTCGTTGGGCAGAGGGAACCCCACGGGGCTGGGGGACACGGGTTGAAGCTCGTCACGGGGTGACGAGTGTCTAGTTCAGCCTTCCTGAATGAGGAGCCCTGTGGGCAGCGCTGGGGCTTGAGATCAGGGAGGGAGCGACCRCGGCGGGACGGAGCCGCTCAACGGAGCCTCCCGGAATATAATTACAGGAGAGAAATGCTAATTTGTAATAATAACAATTAAGAGCGGCGCCTGTGCCGATTACAGGGCTTTGCGGCGGAGCGATGAAAGAAGCCCGCGCGTGCCGCCGAGCCCGGCGCGCTTTGTTGCTTTATTTTGACAAGCGCCGTTTAGTTTAATTGTAATTAGAGCTAAACAAAGCCCTGGCGCCGCGGCACCGGCAGGCCCATATGCCGGGAGCCGGCGCGCGTCTGTACCGGCGCGACCCCCGGGCCCGGCCTCCTCCCGCGCGTTGGCCCACGCGGGAGCCCTCGCCGTGGCTTTCTCCGAGGAGCTCCCTGTGATTCCCCTGGGTTTCGGAGGGTCTCCCGGCTCTGGAGAGCCTCCGTGGTGGTGAGATGTGTATGGYGGGGAGCTGGCAGAGCCGGGCGGTGACCTTGGGTGCTTGGGGGACTTGGGTGCTGAGGCCTGGAAGGGGAGGCCACGTCCCTAAGTGGAGTTTTGCCTTGGAAGCCTTCGGGGCAACCTGGGGCTGGGCCTTTGGGCCAGCCTCCCTGGTGCCGCRTGGGGTCCCCTGTGTGTCACCAGCCTCCCTGGTGTCCTGTGGGGTCCCCCAGGTGTCACCAGCCTCCCCGGCGCCCCATGGGGTCCCCCGTGTGTCACCAGCCTCCCCAGTGCCCCATGGGTCCCTCGCGTGTCACCATGCACCGAGTCCTTGGGTGGGGCTTCCTGGGGAGGGAGAGCAGCTCGAGGCCCTCGCAGCTGCCCCCGGGGAGGAACCGGTTGCGGCGGGAGCAGCCTGGCGGGTTGGAGCCCCTCACGGAATTTGCTCTTTTGATAATGGCGTGTTCCGAGCGGGACTCGCATCCAAACCCGGGTGATGAATCCAGGGATCGGCTGGGGAGGCCGCCCCAGCTCCCGCTTGGGTTGCCCCGGAGGAGCCGAGGTGGCCGCCGGCTGGGAACCGGCTCGTGTCGATGCTGCTGGTTGCGTCAGGCTGACGGCGAGGGGGGAAAAATCCCCCCAATAATAAAATTGTAAAATAGCGGTTTGATTCATGCTTTTTTATCAGCTTTTAATATCTGGAACTACCGTGTGAGCAAGAGGCCTCCATGAGTTTTGAATGGCAGGTTAAAGGGCTCCAATAAAGATTAGATGGCCGCCTATCTCCCAAGGAAATTGCATCCAAGTGGTTACTCCTGCYGGCTCCCGTTAATTTCCTCCTCAGGGCTGCCTCATATCCTGGTGCCGCGGGCAGGGGCTAAGAGGCGCTTCCCGTTATCTCCATCACGGGTGCGTGGATGCGATGGGGAGGGTGTGGGGGCCGTGGGGCACAGCAGGTGCCCGGGGTTGGGGTGTCGGGGCGCGGGGTCCCCCGCGGCGCTCCCGCTGACGCCCTTGTCCCGTGCTCTCTTGCAGCGTGCGCGCCGGGCACGTTCAAGGCCAGCCAGGGCGCGGGGCCGTGCGCGCCCTGTCCCGCCAACAGCCGCTCGGCGGCCGAGGCGGCGCCGCTCTGCGCCTGCCGCAGCGGCTTCTACCGCGCCGACCTCGACGCGCCCGCCGCCGCCTGCACCGGTGAGTAGGGGACGCGGGGAGGGGACCCTCCCCTGAGCCCGGCGTCCCKCTGGGAAGCAGCTCGGGAAGGGGCCGGGGGCTCTCGGCTGCTGCCGGGATGGGGAGGCGCAGGCTTGAGYTTCGGCCAAGGCCCCCCAAGGAAGCGCAGCGTGCTCTGGGCCATTGAATCAGTCCAGCGAGGATCTCACAACTGAGGGAATTGTGGATGTAGCCGTTCCCGCTCGGATCTGCGGAGATGCGCRGGATGCCAGGGAGCACCTGGAATAGGGAATTAATTGGCTTATCCTGCTGGAGCTGTCACGAACAGACGGGAGGGACAGGCGGGCGGGAAGAGTTGGAAAGGAACCCGCATCTTGGCTCTGTCTCGTTACGTAGCTGCCTTTCAGAACGTGACACCGACGGGCTGCTGTCCAGCACGAGCCGCTTCCCCGTCCTTATTTCTTCCCGTTAAAGCTTCATTTTAAAATGCTCTAATCGGAGGGCCCAGCTGCTCTGTTCTGCAAGGGCCGTTGTGGAGTCGCATCATCCCGGGCCGCGGCGGACGCTGCTCCTTGCAGGCACGATCCGGACGTGCCGCCGGAGCGGCTCCAGCGTGCGGATGCGGGAGCGGCTCCGCACGCGCTGCTGGAAGGGAGAGGCTGCGGCTCTGGGCTGGGCCGCCCTTGCTGGCGACAGCTCTGCCGCTGCAAAACTGCAGGAATACGAATTTTTTATTTACGTTTTCCTTCGTTTTTGCYGTTTTCTAGCCATTTTGATGCACCACTTCCCTCCGCAGTAGCTGTGGCAACAAGGCTCCTGAGGGGAGCCTGACGAGGGGAGCCGAGAAGGGGGTTCGGAGCGGGGCCAGAGCCGCCKCCGCCCTGGCGCCCTTTGGGATTTTGCCCGTCCATGTCTCATTCCCAGCCCCTCTATCCCTCATGGCCTRTTTTGCTGATAGCTGGAATTGGGGCTGTGTTTAATTCCCATCTTCCGGAGCGGCTGTGATCGCTCCCAGCTCCGTATTCCCCATGGATTTGATCAATGAACTCTCTAGCGCAACCTCYGAGCTGCTAATAAAATAGGGAAGGAATAAAGCAGCCTGGAGGAGAGCCGTCCGCGCCGCTCCGAGCGGGATGTGCAGGGCTGGTACGGCCGCTCCTGAGGTGCTGCTTGCCCGGGGACGGTCCCCCTGCCCCACTTGTCCCTTTGGGGCGCTCCCATGGGCTGCCCACGCTCTATGCTCCGGTATCTTGCGGGCGTTAAGGTGGGTCCATCCTCACGGTGTGGTGGCAGCCCAAAAATTGGGGTATGGGGGCGCTGGTGGAGCAGGGCGCAACACGAGAACCCGAGTCACCCGTGCTGCTTCCCGCCAGGCGTCCCCTCGGGGCCCCGCAACGTCATCTCCATCGTCAACGAGACGTCCATCATCCTGGAGTGGCACCCGCCGCGCGAGACGGGCGGCCGGGACGAYGTCACCTACAACATCGTGTGCAAGAAGTGCCGCTCGGACCGGCGCGCCTGCTCGCGCTGCGACGACAACGTGGACTTCGTGCCCCGCCAGCTGGGCCTCACGCAGACGCGCGTCTTCATCAGCAGCCTGTGGGCGCACACGCCGTACACCTTCGAGATCCAGGCCGTGAACGGCGTCTCCGGCAAGAGCCCCTTCCCRCCGCAGCACGTCTCCGTGAACATCACCACCAACCAGGCTGGTGAGCGCCCCGTCCGCGCGTGCCAGCTCCGCCCTGGGSGTGGGTCCCGGCTCCTCGAGGTTCTCCACAAGGCGGGTGCCGTCTCCCGTGTGCGGGGACATCCCTGCAYGGGTGCCGTGGATTCCCCCATGCTCATCGTGGCCTTCTCGGTCCCAAATGCTTTCACAAAGGCTGTTTCGGGGGGTGTTTGCTCTAAGACCTCGATCACCCTATGTCCTATCTTGTCCTCCTTCCCCTCAGGCACCCTCTTCCCATCCTGCTTCTCTCCAGCAGTTCTCGAGCATTTCCCCCACTCTGTGTCCGAGTGTTTTACCTCCCTTTACCCCCTTCACACTAACCCTGCGCCCCGCGTGTCCCCGCAGCGCCTTCCTCCGTGCCCATCGTGCACCAGGTGAGTGCCACCATGCGGAGCATCACGCTGTCGTGGCCGCAGCCCGAGCAGCCCAACGGCATCATCCTGGACTACGAGCTGCGCTACTACGAGAAGGCGAGCCGCATCTGCACGCCCGAGCTCGGCGGCGCCGGCGCCTCCCGGCCCGCCACGGTGAGTGCTCTGCGATCTCCTGCCTCCACAGAGGGCTGAAGTTAAACACAAATAATTAGAGTGATCACTAGAGATTCACAGAATGTTCAAGGTTGGAAGGGAYCTCTAGAGATCATCTAGTCCGACCTTCCTACTCAAGCAGGGACACCCAGAGCATGTGGCACAGGGTGGCATCCAGGCGGGTTTTGAAGACCTCCAGAGAAGGAGACTCCACAACCTCCCTGGGCAGCCTGTTCCACTGCTCTGTCACCCTCACAGGAAAGAAGTTCTTCCTAAGAGCTTCTTCCAACTTCTTCTTGGTAAAAAGAAGATTGGAGACACGAGGTGTTTCCCCATGTCTTTAGCTTGGGGTGCGGTGGCCAATGGCAGAAGCAGGTCACCCTTGATGTGACTTGGGCAGGGACACGTGGTGTTGGGGTGGCTTAGGTGCCTCCACGGTCGCCTGCTCTCCCGGAGCTCTGCTGGAGCGGAGCTGGCTGCGGGATGAGGGATCCACTCCAGCAGGTCTCTCTCCTCCTCCAGTTTCTTGCTGATGTTTTAGCGTCTTTTCTTCCTCYCGTTGCTCTGAGTTATTCCCCGTGGGCCGGCCTATGCCGCCGGTCCACCTCCTCCGTGCACCGCGCACGGAGCCTCCAGCTGGAAAATTCCTCCGGCTCCTTCCAGGAGGCGCCTTTGGCAGCCAGGCCGCTCCAGCTCTTCCTGACAGAGCCTCCTTGGAGAGCCCGGTCCCCTTTTCCCTAAGGAAAGACGCTGTCCAACACCCCTCCCCACCCAAAAGCATCTGCAAAACCCATCTCACGACAACCTTTGGGCCCTCGTTTCCCCGTGGAGAGGGCGGCCACGCGGCGGGGCGGCCGTAGGACGACTCCTCTGCGTGGGGAGCTGCCGATTCTGACGCCTCTTTTCCCGTGTCCCGCAGGAGCACAGCGAGTACAACTCGTCCACGGCGCGGAGCCAGACCAACACGGCRCGCGTCGAGGGCCTGCGGCCCGGCGCCGTCTACGTGGTGCAGGTGCGGGCGCGCACCGTGGCCGGCTACGGCAAGTACAGCGGCAAGATGTGCTTCCAGACGCTGAGCGACGGTGAGCGGCGCCCTCGGTGAAGGAAAAGCAGGAAACCGGCCCCAGCATCCCGGCCTCGCGTCGGCCGTTAATTGGGATTTAATAAGAAGGGATATTGCAGATTATTAAATAGTAATTGATTGTTGGATGAGGGGTTCGCAGGACTTAGGCGGCGCGCGGAGGATAAAGCTGGTTGCTGGTAATTAACTGCGGAATGGGGGAATGCTGATAAATGGGCGCTGAATGGGGTTTTCTTTGGAATTAATTTTGGTTTAGCTCTTGCTTGTGGCTCCTGGAGGGGATGGAGAAGCCCTGTTCTTGTTTACTCTGCCACCCTTTCATACCTTAGCTTTCAAATGGCCTTAAGGTAGACAGAAGCATCTTTCATTAGATGCCGTCTACAGCACAATGTGATGGGAATCTCGTCAAGTCTCCTTGAGTTAGATGCACAATGAAAATTAAAATAAAATGGCTTTTTTTCTGCTGTGGGGCTTCTCAGGGATGTGGTGGGTGCTGGGGCAAGGAGCAGGGCTCAAGAGGCTGCTGCAGTTCCTGCTGCTTTGGGGTTTYRGGCTCAATTTTGAGTGCTGTGGGGGTTYTCTGGTGTCTAATATGAGCAGGCGGGTTGTGCAGCCTGCCCCWGTTCTGTTGGCCGTTACCAGAGTCTCTCCTCTGCCTGTTTTAATGGAACCTGTGGGAATTGCATGTCTTTCGGACTCCGGTGTCGAATACAGTTGAACAGTAGGGTAAATTAACCGAGGGAAGAGAAATCAGGCAGGACAAGGGAACTTACCCCRTGCATTTTGCCTCGCAGACGACTACAAGTCGGAGCTGCGGGAGCAGCTGCCCCTCATCGCGGGCTCCGCGGCTGCCGGCGTGGTCTTCATCGTCTCCTTGGTGGCCATTTCCATCGTCTGCAGCAGGTCTGTGYGCGCGTGTGGGGCTCCCCGGGCTCCTCGAGGGGCTCGGCGGGGCTCACGCGGCGCCGTTTCTCCCCGCAGGAAGCGCGCGTACAGCAAGGAGGCCGTTTACAGCGACAAGCTGCAGCACTACAGCACGGGCCGAGGTGAGTGGTGGGGCCCGTGGGTGCCTCCGTGTCCCCCCGCAGCCCCCCGGCCCACGCAGGGGCAGCCTGCGAGGTGCCTAAGGGAGGGCTGGGATGCAGGGGAGAAGGAAGAGGATGCTGCGAAGGCCACTKGCGGTCTCTCCTCCGGCGACCCAGGGATACTCACTGAAAAGAAAGAAAAAGGAAGTTATGTCAGGTGGGATCTAACACTCTGACAAGTCAGGGTCACCGCACTGAGTACTTAGACTTTCTAAAAGTGATAAATAACTTGCTCTTGTCCAAAGCACTGGTAAATGGCCCGGTGCCGTAAGAGCATCCAGGCTATTTTAAGGATCTCTTTGCAGGAAAGCTCAGCACTGATTTCCTTCTGTGTTGTGCTCAAATTCCCTGTGTCTTCCCCCCGAGCATCCCAGGATTTGTCTGCCTGGAGATGGCCAGCGAGGGGCTGAAATTTCCAGAGGTATCGAAGCAGGTGTAGGCAGGTGTCCTCTGTGCCGATGGGAATTGGGAATTTCCATGCCTTGGGTGTCACTRCCAGCAGTGTCCTTGGGGAGGAGAGCTGGCTGAATGTGAACCTGGGCRTTTTTGTCATCTTCAGGTAGCTGCAGGGGGGTTCTCCGTTTGGATACAGGGAGCAGGGAAGCCCACGGGCACCGTGCAAGAAGCACCAGAGGGTGTCTGAAAGCCAGCAGGCGTCGGCAGGGGCAGGGAGTCTCTGCGCCGCTTCCTCCTTTATTTATTCCGTTTGGGGATCAGCAAGTCAGTCGCGGTTACGATCCTGTAAATCCCTTTGTAATCCGGGCYGGAGCATCAGCTGCTCTTGTAAAAAAAATTTATAGGGCCGTTAAGGCAGAGCCATAAAGGGCTTTACCAAGTGGGAAATGCACAGATGGCTTCATCATGGCTGTGGGGAGGATGAGGAGGCTCCTTCTTCATCCCTGCCGAGCCCGGGGCCAGGAGGCTCTCCCCTGTGCCCGGATCCCGGCCCTCCGGGTTTGGTGGCTGGACTCCTCCAGCTTCCTTCAGAGCCCCATGTGCTGCAGTCGTGGTGTTTTGGCCTGCTCGAGGCTTCTGCTGGAAGCAGACATCCACCTTCCCTGCCTGTGGAGAGAAGAAACGTGGGCGTGCGATCAGTTGGAGCCTGAAAAGCGCAAAACTGAGTAGAGGAGTCCCCAGAAAGTCATTTTTTAGGAAGGCTTTTAAGCTCTTGGGATATTTAGACCAGCCTGGAGGCTCAGCCGGTGCCTGGGGTGAAAGCCTCGTGCCTTGTGGTGATGGTGACAGTCCCAGCTTTCCTTCCCGGGCGCTTCTCCCTGTCGAGGTCGCAGCAGTGGGAGGCAAGGGGGAGACGATGATGAGCCGTGCTGCAGGAGAGCACAGCGGGTAGCGGTGGGTTTAGCTGCCGCGGGAAGGAGGAGGAGGCCTGAGGATGCAGGGCTCTGCAGACCTGAGCACGGGGTAACCCCGCTGCACCCCTCTCCCCTTCTCTCCCTCTCCTGCCCGTGACCAGGGTCTCCGGGGATGAAGATCTACATCGACCCCTTCACTTATGAGGACCCCAACGAGGCCGTTCGTGAGTTTGCCAAGGAGATCGACGTGTCCTTCGTGAAGATCGAAGAAGTCATTGGAGCAGGTGGGTGCCGCTTTCCCGTCCTGCCCATCCCGCCCGGCCTCTTGGATCCGCAGGRAGGGATTCTCTGTGTGTGCACAGAGTCCCTCAGCACAGCGTGCCCTCCAGCCCGGCCCCCCGAAGGGACACGGGGCTGTCCGGGGTTTGCGATGGATGGGGACACAGGGGTTGGCTTGGCCCGTGTGCCAGCCTSTCACCTGTCACCACCCTGTGCCATGTTCACGTCCACAGGAATACATACATGTGTTTACACACACGTGACTCTCATTTGGGCTRCTTTGAGTTCAGTTTTTTAAGCAGTAGAAGAAAAGCTGCAGKGAAGCTCCGGAGAAGCAACGAGCTGTTTCAGTGAGGATCAAGCTCAGCTGCGGAGCAGTTGCCTTTTGCTGCTCATCAAGGCAAAACCTGGCTTAAATGTAATCTGGTCATGGGGCAATGGAAAAGCTCCCCAAGTGACGTGACGGGAGCCTTTTTCTGTGTTTTAAATGAGAGTGCTGAAGTGAAAATAATGGAAAAAGTGAAGTGCAAAAGAGAAAGATGAGCAACAACCTCCTGATATCTGAGGCAGGTCCTAAGCAGGAGCTCTCCCTCCAGCCCTGCAAACCCTTCTGCAGGGATCTGCAGGAGTTGCTCCCAGTGTCACCTCTGCAGTGGTTGGGTTCTGCCAACAGAGAGAAGACTAAGTGCTGGCCCCAAATACGTCCTCAACAGCAACGTTGCCCCTCGGGAGGGCACTAATGCCCTCTTAATTGGCTCGGGTTTATTAGCCGGTTGGTTTGCAGAGCAGGTAGCCCCGTGGCGCTGCTGTTTGGTGCAGTGTTTTCTGTGGAGGAGGAGGTGGTAGCTGGAGGTCTTGCACTCACAGGGGAGTTTGGAGAAGTCTACAAGGGACGGCTGAAGCTGCCCGGCAAGCGGGAGATCTACGTGGCCATCAAGACGTTGAAGGCAGGTTACTCGGAGAAGCAGCGGCGGGATTTCCTGAGCGAGGCCAGCATCATGGGGCAGTTCGACCACCCCAACATCATTCGGCTGGAAGGGGTGGTGACCAAGAGCCGGCCCGTCATGATCATCACGGAGTTCATGGAAAACGGGGCCCTGGACTCCTTCCTGCGGGTAAGGAGGGCTTTGGGACCCGTTGGGGGTACTTGTTGGTGGGATGTGGGCTCTGTTGCTGCTCAGCAGCATTCCCAGCATGGATGGGAACTGATTCCTGGGCAAGGAGCAGGGCAGTGCCTGGAGCCAGCCTTGTGGGACAAGGGGGTTTAGGGTGTCCTCGGCAAAGAGAGCCAAGATGCCAGCACCTGCCTGCAGAGAAGGTAGAAATGGGGGAAAAATGGCAAGGGAAAGGAAGGGAGAAGGTGAGGAGAGGGAGGAGGGAAGGAGATGCAGGGGAAGAAATGGAGTAAAGCCCTTAGGTTGGGAACTTCAAAGGAAATTGCAAAATAGTTGAGTACCTGGTATCCAGTCCTGTAAATCTGCTCAGTTTCTTTAGCTCCAAAGCCAGGTAATTTATAAGCCTAATTTCAGCCTTGATGTAAAAATAGCAGCGTTAATTAGCACATCGGCTGCTCAGCAAGGTAGAAAAGTAGGTCATCAGTTCTGCTGCGTGGAGGCTCCTCGGTGTAGGGATCCCTCCGTCCTGGGGGAACGCGGGGTGTCCGGGTGCTGGTTTTCCCACAAAGGAGCGGAAAAGACAGGGAGGGATTTGGAAAAGGAATAAATCTGGCTGGAAAAGTATCGGAGGCTCCTGGGTACCCACCAGCCGGGTCCGTGGTGGTTTCAGACGGCTCTCGCTGACCCCGGCGCCTGCTCTTTCTGCTCCCAGCAAAACGACGGGCAGTTCACGGTGATCCAGCTGGTGGGGATGCTCCGAGGAATTGCCGCCGGGATGAAGTACCTGGCGGAGATGAACTACGTGCACCGTGACCTGGCKGCCAGGAACATCCTGGTTAACAGCAACCTGGTGTGCAAGGTGTCAGACTTCGGCCTCTCGCGCTACCTGCAGGACGACACGTCCGACCCCACCTACACCAGCTCCTTGGTACGTTCCGGCCGGCTCCCCGAGCGTGGAATCCGGGAGGTCACTAAGAAGGACAGAGATTCGACCTGTGCAGGGTCTCTCAGGCCTGTGCTGCGCTCTGCTTTCCGAGCCTGACACTCTCGTTTTCCTTGCTCTCGTCCTTTCTTCCTCCATCATCCTCTTCCCCTTCCTTTCTGAGCTTTCCGTCTCCCTCCTTCCCACAGCTCCCTTGTGCCCTTGGCAGTTTCCAAGGGCCCCTCTCCTGTCTGCTCCGTGGAGGGAAGGGATGAGGCAGGGTCCCTGTTGCAGCCGGGACCTGCAGGAGGGCTCAGGAGGCAGAGGGCAATAGGCAGCCTGCTTGACCACGGAGCTGGGGCGCTTTGAGTGCCGGAGCTGCCGCGCTGCTCTTCTGGGCCACTTCTCTCCCCTGGAAATTTGTTCCAGGCGTTAATTAAAGAGGTCTAATAGAAGCGCTGCTACTCCCCAGCCGCTCTTAATTAACTCCTTTGCCGATACTCCCAGCTCCTCCCTGCTCCCTGTTGCCTCTTCTGCAGCCCCAGGCGGGCAGTCGGAGCCTTCCTCCCGCTCCGGCGGGATCCCTCTGGCCCCAGCCACTCGCTTCCACGTCCCCTTTCTTCCCACCTCTGCCCACACGAGCAGCTTGGCCGTGTCCTCGTGGTCCCATCCAGGTGGTGTGAGCACCTTGCAGCCGGTGCTCCCGGGCCCGGCGCTGTGGCTGGTGTTGTGAATGAGCACAGGAGAAGCTCATGAGGAAGCTGTTGACCTGGTGGGCTCCGTAATGGATGAATCATTTATTAAAAGAGCTTAGTTTATTACAAGGGCTAATAAACTTCTTAACTCTTTATAAACAATTCATAATACGGCGGGGAGTAGCGTGGCAGGGCCATGCCTTGCAGGAGGAGGGTGAAGGGACCACATTTTTTATTGGCAGTGCTAAAGAAGAGGCTGCTGGTTCCAGCTGAGCAGGTCACATCTCCCCGAGGGAGGAGAGCGGTGCAAAATCTGGGCTTTGTGGGTCTGGGGTTTCTCGGTGGTGGATGAAGTGAGATGGTGTCTCCCAAGGAGGGACCWTAGGGCCTGGTTCCTTGTTCCTGGGGACCTTGTGGTGCTGGTGGAAGGTACGAGTTGGGTGAAGGGCCAAGGAGAGGCCTCCTGGACCAGCTCCTGCCAAAGCGGTTCCCCTGCCCACTTCCCCATGTGGCTTTCATCAAGTTAAGCGGAGGAATCGGGGAGTTGTGCAGGTCTGRAGCAGACCCAGCCCGTGGCTCCTGGCTGCCATCGGCTCCTCTCCTGCTCCGGCAGCGCTCCGTGCCCAAGCCCATCCCGCCGGCAGCGGCTCCTCCTGGGAAAGAATGGCACTTTTCCCGTTTCAGGTGCCCAGCAGTAGCTGGGAAAAGGCACGAAAAGGCCTTTCCCCACCTTTCGAGATAAAAGAGATTATCTCATCCGTGTTTATATTTAATTTAGGCCATAATAGATCTTCTCAGCAGCTGGGAAACGATGCTCTGCCTGCGATTACATCACTCTGCCTCCCACAGCAGCTTTTTAGCTCTGGGGAAAAGGCAGGAAAAACAACGTAGCAGTTAATTTCTCCATTTGTAGTTATTCAAATCCAATTTTTGCCATTCATCCYTAAAGAGCAGCTGACGCTTTGTTGGGAAGGCTGTGGAAAACAGTGGTGCTCAAYGAGACACAACACAGTTCTGGCCCGAGTCCGTCTTGGCCCTTTCCTTGTTTCTTCCCTCCTCCCGTGCTGTTTTTGCCATTGCCTACATCGCGCCAAGAGGACGGGACCTGGCTTTGCTCAGGARGAGTTGGGCTGCTCTTAATGCTCCTTGGTGGAGGCCACCACTACCCTGAGCTCGCCGCGTGCCTGGAGGGTTGAGCTGGTGCTGAAGAGACCTCCCTAAGCGGTGGGATGGGAGGCAGAGGGTGCTGCTCGCCATAGGAGCTGGAGGAACATGGGGTGGCTCCTGGTGGCCCTGACTTGCTCACACAAGGGACTCTTTTATTCACTTATCCCTCCTAAACCTGGCTGCTGGGTTGGCTCCATGCAGCCATGTCACCGAGAGGTGCAGGCAGGYGGTTGATGGCCTGAGAAAGGGAGGCAAATCCCTTGGATTTCCGTGGAGGAAAAACAGCTGGGATGCCAGGGCCTGACCCGGCTCCTCCTCCTGCAGGGCGGCAAGATCCCCGTGCGGTGGACGGCGCCRGAGGCCATCGCGTACCGCAAGTTCACCTCGGCCAGCGACGTGTGGAGCTACGGCATCGTCATGTGGGAGGTGATGTCCTTCGGCGAGAGGCCCTACTGGGACATGTCCAACCAAGACGTGAGTCGCCGACRGGGCGCGGGGCCGGAGGCGCCGCGGGCGGTTGTGGAGGGGCGCACGGCGCTTCTGCCCGCTGCTCCCTGCAGCTTTTCGAGCTGAAAAAAGGCCGGCGAGTKAAAGGAGAGGCGCAGGCAGAGGGGGAAGAAAAGCTGGCGGGCTGGCGATTGCACTCGGGGAGCCTGGAAAGCCTTTGGAAACGTTTGGGAGCAGGGAAGGAGCGCTGGTGGTGGCAGTGCCGTGCGCGGTGGAGCTCACGAGAGTGGGGCTGTGCTGCGCACGGGCATCAGAGCCACTCAACCCGCTGCTGGCTCCCTGCTCGCCGCTCAGCGGCCGCTCTCCTGGTCCTGCCGCAGGTCATCAACGCCATCGAGCAGGACTATCGGCTGCCGCCGCCCATGGACTGCCCCGCYGCCCTGCACCAGCTCATGCTGGACTGCTGGCAGAAAGACCGCAACGCCCGGCCCCGCTTCGCCGAGATCGTCAACACCCTCGACAAGATGATCCGCAACCCGGCCAGCCTCAAAACTGTGGCCACCATCACCGCTGTGTGAGTCCCGTCGGCACCGGGAGCGGGGAGCTCCCGTTGGCTCCCGCGCCGCGGCCGGGGCTCGCTGAGCTGCTCGTGTCGCTGGTGGGAAGAGCATAAATTCATAAATTGCTCCGCATCGCGTGGGATTTGTCTTTGCTCTGCCTGACAGGCAGACAAAGAACATGTAGTTTGCAGTCTAGCAACAGCAGTAATTCTTTGCTATTGATTCCTTGTGGCGTGTGACCGGCGAGGCGCGTGGCACGGCGGCTGCTCCGCTCGCGTCGCGGCCCCCAGAGCCGCCGCTCTGCTCTGGGTGTCCCTGTGGGAGCAGGGGGTTGGACTAGCTGATCTCTAGGGGTCCCTTCCAACCTCAACCGTTCTGGGGGTGCGAGGGCTGCCTGTGCAGACCCTCCCCACAGCGAGTGCCACCCTGCTGGTGTCTGCGGGGCAAAATGTGGGTGCTGCACCAACAGGTAGAGGTGCCGAGTTGGGATGTTTGGGGCTCTGGGCAGGGAGGCAGTATTCCCAACAGGACTCCCCAGGGAGCCACAGAGCCACCGTTCCCTTCTACCTTTGGAAAACGGATAGAAGGAACGTGAAGAACCCCATCCCTGTCACGTGTTAGCCTCTCCACGGCCAATTTCAGTTCCTTAGGAGGTCTCTTGCCTTCACGGCAGCGCCCGGAGCATCCCTGGGGAGCACCTTGGACCCTGGCGGTGCTGCCCTGCCTTTTCCAAGGATCTGTCCTGTTGGCTGCCCGTCCCCAGCGCCTCCCTCGGCAGGAGGCAGCTGCCCACTAGCGTAGATGCTCCTTGGGGCACCCTGGGGTCCACGACGGCCCATCCCGCTGTCTGCCTGGGCCCTGGGAGCCCCGGGAGGCCAGGAGATGGGGAATTTCGGGTGGGCTGGAGGTGCCATAGGCCTCTGGTTGGGGCCACCTCTCCGCAGCCGGGTTATCAGCAGTCGCTGCCTCCGCAGCCCAACGCTGGTGCTTCTCTGTGGCGTTTCAGGCCTTCTCAGCCACTCTTGGACCGCTCCATCCCTGACTTCACTGCCTTTACCTCAGTCGAAGACTGGCTAAGCGCCGTCAAGATGAGCCAGTACAGAGACAACTTCCTGACGGCCGGGTTCACCTCCCTGCAGCTCGTGGCCCAGATGACATCAGAGTAAGTTTGAGGCGGTCACGCGGGTCCCCTCAACATCTCCAGCGTGCTGGTTGTGCTYGGGGGTGGGCCAGGCCTCCAAAGGCCTTTTTCTGCTGTAAGATGGTTCTGTGCTTTGGGGATGAGGGAAGGCAGATGTTGCCCCTCCTGCTTTGGGAGCTAGGAGGGGACGGGAGGGGTGCAGAGAGCCCAGGGCAGTGGGAGCACRTGGGGTTGGATGAGGGGTCTTTGTGGCCTGGGTGAACATCTGGGGTGTTCTCTGCTTGCTCTTGTGTTCTGTGTCATAGAAGAGGGAATGTAGGGAGGAGGGGGCCAAAYTCTTCTCAGGGGCAATGGGTACAAGTTGAAACCTTAGAAGTTCCATCTCCAGGTGAGGAGGAACTTCTTTCCTGTGAGGGTGCCAGAGCCTTGGCACAGGCTGCCCAGGGATGTTGTGGAGTCTCCTGCTCTGGAAGTCTCCCATACCCGCCTGGATGCCACCCTGTGCCCCGTGCTCTGGGTGTCCCTGCTGGAGCAGGGGGCTGGACTAGATGATCTCTAGAGGCCTCTTCCAACCTCAACCAATCTGTGGTTCCATGGTTCCTCACATGCCCCAGTGCTCACTGGGCTCTTCACGTGGACTCTGCTCTGGGCTCCGTGCTCCCAGGTGGAAGTTGCTCAGAGTGCTGAGCGGAACAAACCAGCACCTCAGAGTCTGCATCACGCGCGTGTCTTAGGGACAGCAAAATAAACACAGCAAAACTGACCTGTCCGTTGACTTTTTGTTGGTTTGCTTCTTTTCTTCCTTTCCCTCCAGAGACCTCCTGAGAATAGGGGTGACTTTAGCTGGACACCAGAAGAAGATTCTGAACAGCGTGCAGTCGATGAGAGTGCAGATGAGCCAGTCTCCGACCTCGATGGCGTGACCGTCGTCCCCGCTGCGCCGGGGAGGGCACGGGGAGGGCAGCAGCGGCGGGGCGGAGGCGGGAGGGCAGGAACTGATGGAAGCAGCAGGGAAGCGTGTGGAGAGGCTGCAGCGTGGCCGGAGACCTGGAACGGCAGACGGAGGAGGTGCCTGGGACTCGTGTCCTAACGGGTGACTTCGTTTCTCACCACAGAAGCACACTTAGCGATGTCGTGGGGAGCAGCGTATAAATAACGTATAAATATGTACAAATCATATATTTAAAAAAAACAAAAAACAAAAAACAAACATGCAATGAAGACAAACCACTATGTGTTGGGGAGAAACCCCCAATCCCTGGAAACCAGACTCCAATCCCACCGCCAGTGAGCAGTAGTCAAGACTGATACGGAAGAAGGGGCTGTTGGGGAAGGGAAAGGCACAAGGATTGAGTTTCGGGTCCGGAGCGAGGGCCTCCAGCAACGAGGTTCCTTTCCCTTTCTTCTTTTGCTCTCCTTCCCCCACCCCGGCCCTTCCTGCCTCCCCCTGGCCCTTTTCTCTGCTCGTGACCTGTATGGAAGYGTCTTCAGGAGTCTCCACAGCTACCTACCGTCGTACCCAGATGTCGTTCCGCCGACTACCAAAGGACTTCACTGACCACTGCATGGGGGATCCGAATCAATCCAGTTAATGTCTTCATATTGAAGAAGAGATGTACCTTCAATAGAAAACCTTGTTTTTCTTTTGCTTGCATTTTTTTGCAAAAAGGAAAAAAAAAAAATCCATCATGGAAAACAGAGAAAGAGGTGTTCCCGTGTGTGTGTGTGCGCTTGTGCGCGTGTGTACGTTGTCAGCTCCCTGTGGACTCGCTGCTTGTCCATAAGAGAAAATCACAACCGACCCTGACATGACTGAACAGTCAGTTCCAAACCCTCGGGGGGATCTGGGGTGGTGGGGAGGGAGAAGTGGATGGATTTGTGTCCGGATCCGCCGCACCGGAGCTAGCGGGAAGTAACAGGGCCAAGCGCAGGAGGCGAAGCGAGCGCTCGGCGCCCTGCGGCCGGGAGGAGGAAGCGGAGGCCGCCTCGGCCTCCTGGGACTCGAGGAGCCGCCGCGCGCTCGGCGCTGCCTTGGTGACTGCGGAGGCCGCCGGAGAAGCGGGAGCGACGCTCTGGGAAGCAGACTGAGGAGCCCTCGGAGCCTTGGGCGCCGCGGGAGGGGGCTGCGGCCGACCTGCCCCGTCGCGTGGACCTAAGGATTTTGAGATTAAATTACAGACTTAGGTTTCACGGCTTCAGAGGTAGGTCCATTTGTTTCACCTGCCTCTCTGCGCATCCGTCCTGCCCACCTCTATTTTCCACTCCCTTCTCGACAGCCTCTTCCCATGCATATTTCCACGCACTTAATTTGATTTCTTTTTTACCTTTTGTTCCACCGCTGGTCTCCTTGCGAACGGGTCCAGTTAAACTAAGCAGAAGTGCGTCGGTGTTTACACAGGATATTGTAAGCCCAGGCAATCTCTCTTCCCTCCATGGACCACGTGCAGAGTTGATGAAATGAATGAGCTCTTCATAAGGCTTTTCCTTAGGTGATGGTGCATGGGCTGGGATGGTTGGGTTGGTGTTTTCTCTCCAAGAGGCCCCATCTTGGTGGYCCTCCTGGGTGGTGCCTCTGATGTTGAGGTGCCCCTCAAGCACYGCCTGGTTGGTGTCGTTGGGCTCTCCTGGCCTTGGCAGCGACGTCGGTGTGCGTGGAGGGCGCTGGGCTGAACGTCCCTCGTCCTCCAGCTCTGCCTCTGAGCTTCYCATGGACCTCGTTGGTCCCGGGGACCTGAGAAAGCCAAATCAGAACCAGCAGCGCAGTCCTGAGCACGTGGTGGGACAACCCATGGGCAAGAGCTCCAAAATTGCACTTCTTAGTCTGGGAGAGGAACTTTTTTTCCCCCTCTCAAAGATTTTCTTCCTTTTCTTTAAGGAAAACAGGCAGAGCCTCATTCTCTCTCTTTTTTTTTTTTTTTTTTTTTTTTTTTTTAAGCCTTTTTTTTTTACTTTTTTTTTCTCATTTGGTAAGGGAAAGCAAAGAGAAAAATGCAAAATATTCTCAGTTGGTCTTTGCTTCTATGGAAGGAAGAATGTGCAAAATTCAGGAGATTTTCCAGTGGAGCATTTTCTCCTTTTAGGAGTCTTTCTCCCAAAGAAATTGTATTTTCCAGCCCGGAAAGCACTTCCATGTGGTAGTGACTGCAATGCTAGGAGTGCTAGCTCTGCCTCGCAGCGATCATGGTGTGAGATAGGCTGCTTCTCCTTCCTTGCCCTCCTTCGTGGAGTGGCAAGGAGAAACCCTTGCTCCTGCCTGGCTGTTTTCTCAGCAGGTTCGCTTCATTCTTACCTGCCTGTTTATCTCCCCGGAGCAAGGATGGAGAGTCCTTCCCATGGAGAAATKGCTCCAGGAGTTGTTTTTTCATTGAAGATGCCACAGAGCATCGAGAAGCTCCAGCTTCTGCCTTCTGCGGAGACGGGGCGGGAGCTGCAAGCAGCGCTTGGGACCTCGGGTGAGCGTCTTGGGGTAGAGCTGCAGGTTGTTTTGGACCAGGGGCAAATGCAGATAAAAAAAGAGGACCAAAAACGAACCACTGAATGGGATCTAAACCCAGAAGGTGCCGTTTGGCGCTCGCTGCTCTTGSAGCTTTTGGGTCCATGACGGCCTCTTCTGCCACAAAGGGCTCTCCAGTTGTCAGCTTCTCTCCCACATTTCTATGGCAACTGTGAAACCTCCGTCCTCTGGCATCTTGTTTAGGGTGTGGGGTCCTTTTTGTTTGCATGTGTTTGCTTTTTCCTTTCTTTGCACGCAGCCGATTCGCTCCGAGGCTGCCCCTACTCCCCATCACTTAACTGCTAAAAAGAGCCCAGCATCCAGGGAAGCCGGAACCCCCCCCCCGGCCCCTCCCTGAAAATCCCGGGGCAATTTGGGTGTTTTTCCCGGCTCTGGAATGAGCCTTTTCGTGCACCCGGCGCGGGGAGGAGGCGGCTTCCTCAATAGCTGTAATTAAAAGGAGCTGCGGTGCCGCGGGAAGCGGCAGTCGCGCACGGCCGAGGCGGGAGCGAGCGTCTCCGTGTGCGAGAGGAGCACGTTTTAACAGCGTTATTATGTGCCTCCTTATCAAATATATATATATATATATATCCTGCGCCATTTAATGACCTTCAAATTAACGGCTCTTTGAAAGCACTTATGTATATTTAATTTTCAATGTTGCTGCAAGCCGGAGTGGCGCTCGCAATGAAAACAGCAGGCAGCCGGTTCTTAAATAAAAGCCAACTGGGGCCGCTCGTCGGGCGCTTGTCAGCCTGCGGCGCCTTCATGGCGCTCGCTGGCCTCCGYGGAGGCTCGCGGCCTCCCCGGCCTCCCCTTCGCCCGGCCCCTTGCCTCCTGCTCCTTTGCTTGAGCCAGGGCGACAAGTGGCGTTTTTGGGTAGTGACTGTTGCTCGTGAGCCCGTGAAGTCTCCTATCCCCGTCCATAAAACCCTGTGCTTTATTTGAGCCGCTCTCTATTTATTTGGAAATCTTTATTCTTCAACATCGAATTTATTTAACTTGAAAATGAACTCAGTTGGTTTCCAGCACAGGGAATGGATCCACAGGTCCTGCAGTGGATTTTCGGGTTCTCAGATGCATCTTGGCTCCGAGGCCACCCATCCTCTCCCCACCCCGTCTCTCTCATTGACGTTACGCCCAGTTAAACGGTGAAGAGAAAGGCTGGAATTCAKCCTGACTCCTGCCTTCCTCCAGGACTTATGTATCCCTTCTCCTCTAAAGTCCTCGCCGTGGCAGGAGACCACAGGAGGTTATTTAATGGACGTGTCATAATATGATTTGGTGCTTCTTTTGTGGAGGATCCTGCCAAGATGGATGCTCATCGAATTATAACTTGGTTGCCTTCCAAATGATTTTCCGAGAGGCTCAAGGAGACCTTCGGGGGCGCCGTGCCGCAGAGCTCCTCGGGCTTTGGAGAGACCCACGAGGAGCTTCCCGCGGCTCCGCGTGGCGACGGCTCTGCCTCCCTGTAGCCTGAGTGTTGGTGCGGTGACCTGACCGCTGTTAGACGGAGTATTGGTGAGCGGCGTGCCGAGATGGTGCTGGGAAAGAAGTTATTTCGGTGGCAAAACTGACCTGGAAAGGGGCCTGGAAAGTGACCTGTACGTTTGGAGGGCGTGATGGGGCTTTTAATTTCATGTCTTGTTGCGCTCTCCCATTTCKGATGCCCTTGGGTTTTGGCTCTGTGTCTGGGCAGACGTCTGCACGGGGAGTCCTGCCTCCCTGTTGGGCCCTGCCCGGGTTTGGGCTCCGTTCGGTGCTGCCGCCGGCGCGCTCGGAGCTGCAGCAAGGCCAGCCGCTCCGGAGCGAGCGCAGCTCGGAGCGCCCCGCGACATCCCAGCGGAGCTGATCGCGTGGCCCCGAGCAGAGCCGCGCCACGACGGGCATCCTCGTGCCCAGCACGAGCTCCCCTTCCCCATCGTCACCTTCCTCCTGCTCGTTCCGTCTCCGCGGGGYTTCCCTGGGGCTCGTGCCGGTGTCTCGCTGCGGGATGGAGCAGCCCCGGGGCTGCGTGTCGGGTGCCCTGCGCCCTCCTTGCGTGGCGAGGTCAGCGGGAAGGCGCCGGCGACGCGGGTTTTCCGTGGWTCCGCTGGCCTGCTCCCGTTCCCCAAGGGGACGCCCGCTTTCAGGGCTAACGCGGAAGTGGATTAGGCAAAACCTGCTTAAGGCTCCGTTCATTCGAGATGGGTCTTAAGGGGATTAACGCAGTTTACACTGTCGCTTTTAAAATTAATCTGAGCCAGCTTCTCCCGGTGCCCTGTGTGAGCAGGTCTCTTGCTGCCCGTCCCGGGCTGTTTCCATCCTCCTCTCCGCCTCGCCCACGCGGTGCCCCGGATCTGACTTGTTCGGGGCGCTTTCTCCTCGGGAGCCGCCTCCCCGAAACCTGCGGTTACCCCGGGGGGGATTGGCGCCTTTGTCCTGATTATCCTCAGGGGTCTCATTAGGCGATTGAACMTTGGTTT